GCGGCCAGAGCGGCCGCCTGGTCGCGCAGCAGCCGCACCAGGAAGCCAATGTATTTCATGGCCAGGCGGAGCACCTCGTTCTTGCTCAGCTTCCGGTCGGGCGGGTGCGTTGGCAGCAGCTTCCTGAGCTCTGCGAAGGCGCCATTCACGTTCTGCTGCCGCCAGCGCTCCCGGCTGTTGGTGAACACACGCCGGGCCACCTTCTGGGGCTGGTGCCCTGCGAACAGGAGGGCTTGGGTTGGCAGCCGAGGCCCAGGGGGCGCCCCCTCCTGCCCTCGCTTCAGGCACCCAGAGCCCTCGTGGGGACTTCCACACAGGAGGTGGGCTGGGGCTCTCTCCACCCGAGGGATCCACAAGTAGGATCCATGTGTAGCTCCCCAGCTAGTGAGGCACCCGGCCCCCGCCCCCACCCCCTCAGCGCAGACAAGGACCATCACAGGCCCTGGCTGCAGACAACTGAGGCCTTCTGTATCTCTGTCCACACCTTTATGTCAATGGCTGAGATTCCTAGGGGCATGTTTCTTGTGGCTGTCAGGCTGGGGAGTTGTCCCTGTGGTCTGCATTCTGGAGTGTGCCCCTGCGTGTGGCTGGAGGTGCATATGGGTCGAGAGGTTCCCTAGGTGTGAACTCCTGGTGCATCTAAATGGCTGTGGTTGTCTGATCGTTGCCAGGTGGTTGTGGTCATGTGGCTGTGGTTCTGTGGCTGACTCTCATGTGGCCATGGTCCTAAGTGGCTGTGGTTGTGTGGCTGTCTCTTGTGTGGTTCTTGTCCTGTGGCTGTTTCCTGCGTGGCTGTGCATTCTATTGGGGCTGTCATTTTGTGGCCCCCATGCCATGGTGCATTTTGCCATGACTCTTTGTGGCTTGTTGGGTGGCTGTGGTTGTGTGGGCCAGGCCACGGGTCTGTGGTTTTGCACATGGGTGTAACCTGGGTACTGAGTCCCCGTGTGGACTGTCCTGTGTATGTCTGTGTACACCTGCAACACCTTTCCCTGTGGCAGACAGGAGCCCCGGCAGATGGCTATCTATGCGCACAAACCCATACTCACCCTCAGCCAGCTCCAACTCACAGTGGCTTGGTCTCCGCTTCAGCCGGCTGCTAGGGAAGATGCCAAAAGGTCCTGCCGGCCCAATGTAGAGGCTGTAAGGGGTCGTGGGTCACTAATGCCTTGTGGGCAAGGACCCTGGCCCTGGCTTCCCCCCAGGCCCCAGCCCCCCACTGACCTGTTAAGGAAGGGGTGAGGGTGATAATGCAGGGCCAGGGGCGGTGGGACAGTTCCCAGGGTAGAGAGTGGTAGCAGTGGGGGCCGCAGGGCGCTCAGCTCCGTGGTGGCCATGGTTGCCCCTGGGGGCCTGGTGTGGCCCAGGCTGATCACTGGCACGCCAGGAGGCAGCCTGGGGGGTGAGGAGCCTTGGTGGCCCATCTCCTTCACCTTCGGGGGTCCAGGCGAGGCAGGCTTGGGGGGCAGAGTGGGTGCTGGGCTGGGGGCACACACCATTTCGGCCTTCTCAGTCATGGTGGGGCCCACCTCTGCCTGGGCCTGGGGCGGGCACATGGACCCCAAGGGGGTGCTCACCTGTGGGAGGGAAGGAAGCCAGTGGGGAGGGAGGAATCAGATGCCATGCACATCCCTTAGCCCAACAGAGCCCTCAAAGGAGACGGAAAGGGCAGGGGGATGGTGGTTCGGTGCGTGAAGGCAGGTGGGCTCAGAAACCACCAGGACATGCGAGGGGGATGACGCAAGGGCAGGTGGCAGCCAACGAATCTCTGGGGGGCCCTGAGCTCGGCAGGGCCATCTCTGAGCTCTTTGTGACCCATGAGGGCCTCAGTTGCCCAGCTTCTGAGCAAATGTCACTTATTCCAGAATCTGGCTTCTCACCCGGAGCCTGGAGAGGGGGTGAGGAAGGAACCCATGATGGATCCTCTGGTCCCCAGGATGACCCTGTAACCCTCAGATCTGATCCGGAGACCCATCATTGATACCATGTGACCTTAGAATCCCTCTACAATTGACTCTGACCCTTCACTGATTTCCAAACCACCCCCCCAGCTGACCATGTGGCCCTCAGCTATGACCCTGGGGGCTCTTCTCATTGCCTCCATGTCACACCCTGAAAGTCCCCCATAATCGCTCCACTGACTCCCACCCCACTGAAAATGTCCCCCTTACTAACCCTGTAAACCCCACTGCTGACCCTATGATCAAAGATGCTGACCCAGGATCCCCAAACCCTGACCCCACTGCCCAGTACATACAGTCATGTCCCAATCCTTCTCTGGCCCTCCCTGGTGTCCCCCACGCCCCATTTCCTATCCCCATCAGCATCCACTCCTTTGCTTAGACGGTTTGGCCCCATGGCTTGGAGTGTCCGGCAACTTCTGGGACTCCTGGCCCTTCTGCCCCCTCTTCCCTACCTAGGCCCTGGGGAAGCTGGCCAGGACTCCCACTTAGTGGGTCCCCCCTGATGAATGAATGAATGAATGAACGAACGAATGAATGAATGAATCCAGGCACTCCCAGGATCCCCCACCTTCAGGCGGACTCTGTTCTTACCCCGGCGCTGGTCCTCCTGTTTGGTGAGTGCCCTAGCTCTGTCCTTCAGGGCCAGGATGCGGTTGGGTTTCAGGCCAGGCTCCGTGGCCTCGATCCGGTCCGTCCGATCCGGTCCGTCCGGCCTCTGCGTTCAGGGCCGCTGGGAGCTTGCCGCCCCCTCCCGGCAGCGGCGTCGGGGCCGCGCCTCTTCCCGGGCTCCCGAAGGCCGCCGCGACGGCAGCGTGGATCCCTCGAGGGAAAGTGAGCTGCTCCTGACCGGCCCGCCCTCTCCCCGCCCCCGGCGGCCCAGTTTCCTCCCTCTCACCCCCGGCCGCGCCGGAGGATGCTGGACCGGCACAGATAAGGGCCTGGCCGACTGGCCGCGCCTGATAAGGAGCCGGGCTGACCCCGGAGGAAACCGGCGGGCGGGGATCTCCGAGCGCGGGCCTCACAGCCCCGCCCCCGGCCGGCGACGGCCGGAGCCGTCACCCCTCGGGCCTCACCTTCCGTCCCCCCAGGCCCTGGAGTGGCCCCGGGGCCTCTGAGGACCCCCACCCAGTGCACAGCTGGGAGTGAGGTACCCGGATGCACGCAGAGGGGAAGCCGAGGCAGGGAAGGAGCGGCCTCCAGTATCGCTTGGGTTTCGCCTCCGGCTTTGAACACCCCCTGCCCAAGTGTCCGGGCTGATGGGGGTGGAGGAGAGCCCTTTTCCGGCAGTGCCGGGGCCTCGTGACCCAGGGCCCCCTCCTGCTCCTCCTCTCCTCACCCTGCTTGGTTCCTCTTTTTACACCACCCCTCCCGGGCTTTGCACCACCCCCACCCCAGACGGGGACACTGGAGGGAGGGCCGTTCTCACAGTCGGCCCTTGGGGGTCCAGCCCGGGGCCGGTGTCCTGGGCCCCCAGGCCTGCTGTCCACACCCCCTTTTCAGGCCCAGGAGGATGAGAGGAAGTGCCACAGCTGGGAGGGACTTCCTTGGGTGCCAGGGCTGGCGAACTTCACAATAGGTGTCCCCGGCGCGTCTCCACAGGATGCGGATCCTCTAGGCCGCAGGAGCACACAGCCCCAACTTGGTGGTCTCTGGCCCTCATCCCACATCGCAGGCCACTTCAGGGGTGGAGGGGACGATGGTGATAAAGAGGCGTTGGGCAAGTATCTGGGACTGGTGGTGGAGCTCAACACCGGCCTGGAGCCTCACCAAAGGGAGGGGCCCCCCCCCCGGAATAGCTTGGTAGCAGGGACAAGACTATCCCTTTCTCCAGGGCCCTCCCACCTGGGCCGGTCAGGCTTTGCCTCCGGGGGCCTCTATCTGGGGAACAGCCGGAGGCACCACCCTCCCAGGAATCTGGCGGAGCCCAGGAGCCAGTCCACCAGCGACCGTCCCACGGCCCCAGGGAAGCAAGAGTTCATTCATCTCTAAGCCCAGGAGTTACCTGATGACCCCTACAAGCGAGGTTCTAGGCTTAGGGTCATGACGGCTGGGGATGAAGCAGACAGAAAGGTGTTTGGGAGGGCCCCACAGCTACCGCGTGGGGGTGGGGACTGTGCCCTAAGCCTCTCCGTTAACGTTGCTAACCCTCTGTCCCGGAGGGGAGGGGAAGCAGCGGGCCTGCCAGCCTGTGTGCTCGCCTGAGGGGCCGCAGGGCAGGAAGCACCTGGTCTGGAGCGGATGCACAAGGCGCCTGGTTCCGGTCCGGCTTCCGCCGCCGCGGCCCCGTGGGGAACCCAGCCAGAGAAACCAGGCGGCGACGCGAGGCAGGGCAGGAGCTGGGTGACTGGCGAGCCGGCCTGCGTCCGCGTGCTGGCCGACAGGGGGGCGTGGGGGAGGGGGGGCGGTAAAGGTCCCACGGGCACGAGCACACGGCTGCCGCCCCGTGGCCGCCTCGGGAACTGCGGGCACCAGCAACGGGGGGTGGGGGGGTCGGGCGCCTCGAGCGGCGGGTGGTCCGTTCCCACTCCCCCACACAGACAGAACACCCCAGACAGAAACACGGACAGCACTTCAGTTAGGCAGGGACGAACAAACCCCGGAGTGCCAGAGCTCCCCCCGGGGGGGGGGGTTAAAAGAGAAGGACAGAGGAAGAAACTCCAGACAGGGCCCCCCAAGGCAGATGGACAGGCAGACCACAGGCGGCCTTCTCATTCGGACAAACGACAGTCGAACGGATGACATCTCTTTATTGGCTCAGTCTACTCCTGGACCAGAGGCCACGCCAGGCCCAGGCGGGTTCTGGTAAGGAGTCTCTGGACGGTCCTCGGGTGCTGGGGAGCTGTGGGCGTAGCAACACTGGTCCCCGCGTTGACAGGTGCCCTGGTGGGAGGATGGGGGGTGTGAACCCCGGCCCAGAGCTCAGCAGCCTCTGCTGGGTCCTTTTCCTGAGTGGGGAGCTCACCCCCATACCATGCCTGCCCCAGGTCTCCCAGCCCCGCCTGCCCCTGGGTCTTGTCCTGTTGCTGGGAGGGGGATCCCCGGGCCCCGCGGGGGGAGGTGGGGGTGCCCCACCTCCTTGAATCTTTTACAGGGAAATGTCTTGAGCCGGGCAGCCCGCTGGACTGGGTCCTCAGCAGGCTCCTTTCTCTTGTTCTGGTGCAGCCTGCTTCTCTCCATAGCCTTGCCTGCTGCCTTGCCCCTGTGCAGGGAGAGGAGTAGCTGGGACCCCATGTGGCCTTTGTGCCCCCCTACCCTGGACACGCCCCACCGCCACCCTGCTCCCCTCACCCTGGCCGGGCGCGGGGCCGCGGGCCCCAGTTGGCCTCGGGATTGGCCTGGAAGCGCTTGAGTCCTCGCTGGCGGGAGCTGGGGTTGGCATCTTCCCGGATGGTGAAGTCGGCCTGCAGCCTGGGGAAGCGGGAGGAGGGGCTGAGGGACAGATGCCCTCGGGAGTGCATAGACCGCCCGCCAACCTCAGTGTGGCTCCACGCGCTTTGGGAAGACTCCGGACTCTCATCCACTTACTAAACATTTTATCAAGTGCCTACTGTGTGCCTAAAACCTGCCACCAGTAAAGCCAAGGTCCTAGTGCATGGGACAGCGGGACAAATCAGAAATCAGCAAAATCACATTGTGTTCGGGCACGGGTGAGTTTTGAGAAAAACGGAGCAGGATAAAGGGAACGGGGAGACGGGGCAAGGGGTGCAGGGCAGGACGGAGTGATCAGACACCTGAAGGAGGTGAGGGAAGAGCCATCGGGGGACCTGGGGACAGGCACTCCAGGCAGAAAGAACAGCGGTCATAAAGGCGGTAAGGGGGGCGCTGCGCCTGGGGAGTTGGGAGTGAGGAGGCCCAGCCCGGAGGGACTGAGGTGGGGAGAGGGGTGCAAAGGATGACAGGGAGATCACAGGCAGATGGTGCAGAGCCTGCAGGTCCAACTTGGGATTCTAGCGAGTGAGGTGGGAGTCACAGAGGGATCAGACTCAGGTGCTCACAGGTGTTACCCTGGCGGCCGGGGGCGGGGGGGGGGAGGGCAAGGGGGAAGACTGTGGCTCTCACTTGAACGAGCACGGGTCTGTGTCGGGGGTTACCCGTGTTGCCTGCACACACATGAGCTTCCCCGGCCCGTGGGCAGCCCCGTCGGTGCCATACCTGGGCTCCACACCGAGAATACGAAAGGCCGGGCTGGTCTCCGACAGGCGCTCCCGCCTCACCGGACACTCCTTTCCCTGGGAGGCAAAGCTCAACGGTCAGGGGCTGCTGGGCCCGACCGTGTCCTGCGTTTGCACCCCCGGCCGGCCAGGCCAGTGCTCACCCAGCAGCGCATGATGTCCCAGAGGGCCGAAGAGGGGGCATCCGTCTTCACGGCATTCTTACAGGCGTGGGAGAGCGAGACCCGGAAGCCAGCATGGAGGAGGGCCGACCTGGGGACCGAGGGGGGCCACGGTCGGCAGGGGGGTGGGGGTGCGGGGCTGGACCCCAAAGCCAGTGCCGCCCTGTGTGGGTGTGAGCCCCCCTCCCCCTGGTTGGACGGGTGCAGCTGAACGGCTCGCGGGGGCTTCGTGGCCTGTGTAATGCCAGCGATCGGAAGAGCAAGACCGGCCCGACTGTCTCCCCCGCCGGGGCGCACGGCCTCCGCGCCGTGTTCTCAGCGCCTGCACGTGGGCACATCGCGTCTCCGTTTCACAGGAGACTCTGGCCTGAGAGGGCTGCACCTGCCCAAGGGCGCCCAGAGGTCAGGTCCCTGCGGGACCCTCACCGCAGCTGCAGGAGGCTGGGCGTGCTGCAGCGGATGGTGCGGCTCAGCTGGTCCAGCGTGTAGTAGAGAGGCACGTCCGGGAGCTCCTGCGACGGGGACACGGTGGATGTAGGGTGGATGGAGGAAGGATGGCTGGGCACAGGTGGGCCCCCCCCATCCCCGTCATGGCCCGGCCCCCACCTCAGTGATGACACTCAGGACCCCTCGGATCCGCTCTGAGGTGTGGAAGCGGCCAGGGTTGGTGCTCACAGCCTCTAGGACACGACCCACGAAGTCCAAGTCATGGAGGGGCTCTGCCCACAGGGGACCGCCAAGCTACAGATACACAGCGGCCAGATGGGAGGGGTCAAGACAGCCACAACCCCAGTGACCCCCTTGTTTCCCCTGCCCTGCCTCACCTGGTGTCGCTGCCCACAGTGTTCACACTCGGGGGCGACGGGGGGACCACAGGCTGCAGAGAACTTGACCCTGCAGAGAGAGAGGTGGTTGGGGGGCAGTGACCCTGGGACGCCCCCTCTTCACCTTCCTCCCCGGCTCCCCCTTGCTCACCGGCCACCAGAGGCTCCCGACGCTTTGCCAAGGCGCTGAAGGTGGAAGGTCCCACAGCCCACACACTGGAATACCAGCGCCTGCTTGCTGTGGGGGAGCAGGGGTGGCCCTAAGTTCCCAGCATGATCACACCCCGACTCCTCCCTCAGGCTAACTTCACCCCCATCAGGACCCCCACTTCCCCGGGGCGGGATCATCCTCCCCCGACACACACACCAAAAGGCCCTGTTGCCTCCTTCCATGCATCACCCTTCCTTGCCCCAGACTAACCTGGCTGAGGCTTTGACCTTGGCCTGGCCCATGAAGACACGAACAAAAACGCGCACATAGAAGTCAGCGCTGACACTGAGCAGGGGTACCACAAAGCGCTGGTAGCAGTTGGCTCGGAGGTCTAAGCTGTGCAGGACGATCCTCAGGGCCTGGGGTGGGAACCGGGCATCGGCTATCAGCCACGCCTCCACCGTGGCCTCCCTCTACCCCAGAGGCTCACAGCTCCCTGGGCTCCAAGCCCAGCCCCAAGTGTCCTGGCTGTGTGACCCTTGCCAAGTGAATGCCTCAGTTCCCTCATCTACGAAATCGGGACAGTCTGTGTCTCTTTATGGCCCTGCTGGGGGTACCGCACAGTTAAGGAGAGCACGGGTCCCCCAGACTGAATGTATTTTGGTTAGCATCGACAGTGTGCCCCATTCTGTGCTCCAAAGACCTGTGTTCCGGCTTCCCAGACTGACCTGATGACAGGGCCCTTAAGGAACAAAGACGAGACATCCTCCTTTCCAGCCCACGGACGCAGCCAGCCCCTGCCTTCTCGAATCCCCATGGCAACCCATCACCATCATGCTCATTGCACAGATGCAAAAACCAAGGCCCGGAAAGATGAGAGCAATTGTCCAAAGACGCCAGCAAAGCTAAGATGTGAGCCCAAAGCCAAACCCAGACCTGAAAACTGCCTTTAAAAACAATTTTGAAAACTTGTTAAAACAGACGATACTGGCTCCTACCCTGGACAAAACCACTGCCCCCCAGATGACCAGAATTGGCAGCCCAGGCTCTTAGGACTGTGCTGGTTATGGACACGCTTGTCCTCCACATCTTGGGACGGAGCTGGCCCTGGATGCCTGGAGGAAGCTAAGCGGGTGTGCGGGGCGGGGCGGGGGAGGCTGGGGAGCGCCCTCACCATCTCGTGGCAGGCGCGGCTCTTGAGGGCCATGGCCCCGTACTTGCTGTAGCACGTCTCCCCGCTGTTGCCGGCCAGCACTGCCATGTCCGTGCACGTCACGCACAGCAGCCCTGCGAGGGCCCGCACGGTGAGGACCCTCCCCGCACCAACCGCGAGCCCGGCTCTGCACCCCCCGGGGGCAGCGCGGCCTCACCTCCTTCGCTCACAGCCTGCACGGCTGCGTCCAAGAAGGGGGCAGGGCTACCGTACGGGTCCAGGTCGATGACGTCAAACCGCTCCGATGCCTTCTGGTGCTGGTACATCAGCATCCTGGGAGCGAGAAGGCCAGGTCCTCAGCCCCCTGCCCCGGGGACCTGCTCTGTCCCCTCCGCGTGTCCTCTCGTTCCATGTGACCATTCTGGCCTGGATTTGGGGGCCAGCTGCCTAGGTTCAGATCTTGGCTTGGCCGTTTGCTAACTGCGTGGCTCTTCCTCCTTGGGCCTCGGTGTACTCACGTCTAACAATGGCAACAGTAACAGCCCGCAGACGCGTAGCATACATGTGCCGGACAACAGTTCCAAGCAGTTTCCAGCTCTATTAACTCAGTTAATCAAATAATCTTCCAGACAAATCTATGGATTGGGAATGATGATTGTTCCCTCTGTACGCGAGGAAATGCAAACGCTCCCTTCTCGGTGTAGCCTGCCCTGACTGTGTTCTTTAAAACTGCAACCCACCCACCACCTTCCTCCAGCCCCCGCTCCGCCCTCGATCCCCACCCCCCGACCCCAGCACGTTTCACCTCTACCTTACTATATAGTTTACTCATTTGTCTCATCATTTGTTATGGTCTTTGTTTCCTATCAGGTTTCTTTTCCTAAGATTTTATTTATTTAGCTGAGAGAGAGGGAAAGCGAGAGAGAGAGAGAGAGAGAGAGAGAGAGAGAAAGAGAGAGCACAAGCAGGGCAGAGGGAAAGGGAGAAGCAAACTCCCTGCTAAGCAGGCATCCTGAGGCAGGGCTGATCCCAAAACCCTGGGATCATGCTCTGAGCTGAAGGCAACCGATTAACTGACTGAGCCACCCAGGCGCCCCTCCTATCAGCTTTTAATACAATCAGGAAAGCAAATACTTTCCATAGCAAAGACTTTTTGTTTTCTGTAAAGGATCCGATAGTAAATATTTCAGGCTTTGTGGGCCACAAATGGTACCCTTTTTAACCCTTTAAAAATGCAAAATCATTCTTAGCTGGTGGGCCCTAAAAAACCGGGCACCTGCAGGTTGTCTGCAGGGCCCCTGCATTAGAATGTGAATGCCCCAAGGTCAGGGATTTTGTCTGTTTTGTTTACTGATGCCTGGCACATTGTGGACGCTAGATATGCGCTGGTTCATTTGAATGAATAAAAGTACCAGAGGTTGCGAAGTTAAGTCTAAAATGGAAACCACGGGTGGTACACGTTTCTGGCTATACGAGCATCATCTCTCATTTAATCAACACAGCATTAGTATTACAACTCCTGTGATACTAATATCCTCATTTTACAGACAAGGAAACTGGGGCTTAGAGAGACTAAGGCACTCTCCCAAGGTCACAGAGAAAGACTATGACAGACTTGGGATTTGAGGCCAGGCAGCCTTGCTCTAGCCTGCACCTTCCAGCCATCGGGCTCTGCTGCCCCAAACATACCGGGCGTCTGCCTGCCTGGGATGCACCAGGTGGGCCACACCGTTGAGCTGCACGTTGCGGCACATGAGATCCACGGCTCGGGCAGAGGCATCGTTGGCAACCACAGAATGCAGCCCAGGCACCTCTCGGGCAAAGCGAATGGAACGGAGGCCCGAGGCTGCCAGACCCTCCAGCACTCGAAGGCCTTCCTGTTGGAGTAATCAGGGACCCCCACTCACATGGATCCCTCCACCCTCTGCTGGGCCCCAAGGAGCCCCCACCACCCACTTCCTATAGCTCTCCCGCCTCAGGAGCCTTCCTTCCTCCATTACTGGAGGACTCCCGGGCTGCGCCTCCTATGTTCAGGCCCCACCTCGCAGATCTCCCCCACGGCAGCTGTTCGAGGTTGGTCTCCTGGGGCCAGGTTTGCACCCTCTTTCAGTTCAGCCTTTTCCTCCTCTTGCTCTGATAAGTCCACGACCACCTTTTGCACATCCTTCTCACCTGGCACCTTGACTGGAGCCACCCAGAAGCACAAGTCAGCGGGTATTAAAGCTCCCTCTGAGAGACCTCCCCCTATTTCTCAGGATACAGAAGATTCGGGGAAGAAAATCTTCCTCGAAGCCCCTGGGGAAAGCCTGAAGTTAGAAATAAGCCCAGGGCCTGCTGTGTGGCTGGAGCCTTTCAAGACATTAAGGGAAAGGGGGCGGGGCAGGGAGAGAGCTCGGAGTGACCCCCGCCCACCGGGAGACTGGACCTCGACTCACTCTGGATTCCTTTGGCCGCAAGCTGAACGCGAGCAAACTCAGTGATCACGGCACACCTGCGGGAGACTGAGGGTTAGCTCACACCCCCCTCATCCCTGCAGTTCCACTGCCCTCTGCTAAGCTGACCCCAGCCCCCTGCTCACGTCAGGTCCCGGTTGAACTCCTGCACTGGGTTGTAGAAGACTTCGTTGGAGCTGGGGAAGGCTATCTTGGCGGCCCCCTCGGTGACCGTCGTCTCCTGAGCCTCGGACGCGGGCTCTTCTTCGCGGGGCGCGGTGCCGTTCTCCATTTCGGCCGGATTCGGTAGCCCTTGCGGCTGCCCCTCCATACACCTGGCTCTATAGGGACTGCAGGCGGAGCGGAGAGTCAGCCTCAGCCACAGACCGATTCTCGCACGGGACATCCGCGGGAGCCTCTGCCCGCCAAGCCTGGTTCGGGGGGCGGGGGAGGGCATAGGAAGAACCTCAGAGAGCTGTGTTCCCGGGCCCGGTGGCCTATACATCGGTCAAGATTAAGAAGACCCTGCGGCCTCAGTAAGGTGGCACCACACCCCATCTTCGGAAAGACCGGCCCCTGAGAAGCCAGAAGCCCTCGAGCGGGCCGGACCCTGGCCTGTATCCTTCCCCGCGTCGCCCACGCCTTTCTCACCCTCGCTCGAGGCGCCGAAGACCGAATTAGTCTGGGTGCACGTTTCCCGGATTACACCTGGGCGTCGCCATGTTGGCACAGTGGGAGGGCAGGTCACATGATCGATTTTAGCCAATCAGTGATGCTACCTACAGTGGGTGGCCGGGATCAAAATGCACGGCGGAAAGCTCGGAAAGTAGTGTGGATAACCTTAATCACGTCGGCTCCCCCGGGAGGGGGACGCGTCACTCGCCCCATTTCACGGATGAGGAAGGTGAGGCTCAGAAAGGGGGCGGTAAGCGGAGAAATTCAACACCTACTGATCGGCTTCTGTGTATTGAGTGCTGTAAGCACACTATTTCAGGCCACTCTGCAGGAACAATTAAGGCTCTGAAGTCAGATTTACTGAGTTTGAATCCCAATCCTACCACATGGTCTTGGCAAGTTACTTAAACTCTCTGGGCTTCACTTTCCTTATCTGCTAAATAAGAATGCTAGTTTCCAATATAGAGCAAAGATTGAACTACAGAATGCCTGGAAATTGTGCAAAGCAGTCCCTCTTCAAGTAATAAGTTCTCGATAGGTTCTAACTGGTGTAGGACCAGAGGAGAGCGTAATGGGCTGCACTGCCTGTGTTCCAGTCCCAGCTCGCCTCACAACTTGTTCTTATCCCTCTCTATGCTTAAGTTTGCTCATTTGCAAAATGGACAGAACTTTTTAACGTTCGTTCCTGGGTTGTGGTGAGTTTTAAACGAGTTAGTGCAGGTTAAATGCCTAGAACGGAATCTGGCTTGGCATAAACATAAAATCGTTAACTTTTATTGTCGATTCTTGAGCCTGGGTTTGATTCCTGCCACCTGCCACCACTTACTTGCTGGTGATCTTGAGCAGGTTTTTTCAGCTGTGTGTGCCTTTCTATAAAGTGTGTACAAGTGTGTTATGATTTCGACTTAAAAATGTTACTGTGAAGTTTAAACGAGATAATTCCCATAAAGAGCCTAAAACAGTGCCTGGCACAATAAATAGAATTCATTGTTGTTTTCGTTTTACAGGAAACGAATGTTCCGAAAGGCAGAGAGACTTGTCCAAGATCGAGAAAGTAGGAAGTGTTAGGGTCGGGAGTCGAACTCTCCAGCAGACCCAAGGTACTGGCGGGGACCCAAAGGAGCGAAGGCAGAAAACGGGAGATGAAAGCAGAAAACGGAGATGGGAGGAAGGGACGCTCTCGGCACTCAGCTGGCCTCGCCTCGGGGGCGGGGCCTGGGGC